ATTCTTCTCCAAACAGCCCTGGTCACCTTAGCAACCCAATGCTCCTAATATGGACAGCTGGTCCATTTAAAGTCAGCCCTTCTTGGCAGGAAAAATGCTTGTTCTTCAAACTGGGCGAGAGAGGAGAGGTTTTCCTTTCAACACACATTGCAGGGGCTGATTTAACTTGGTCAGCATTTTGTGGCAGCAGTTTGTGTCAAGTTTCAACCTATTCGGAGTTTTTGGTTTTTTGGTTTTTTTCTTTTTTAAATTCGAAAGCAAGTGGCTTTTAAAAATAAAAAAGGGCAGCTCATATGGAATTCTAAAGAAGACTGGAACATGAAACAAAAAAGGTATCTGAAATAACTGTATTCTTTTATAAAAAAAATAGTTATCCACATTTTTTAAAGTTCATATTTACTTAAATCACATTTGAAGTCTTAATATACAATAAGAAATCAGAGTCAGAAGACCTGGCTTTTTAACACCACAGCCTATTTTTGAATAGCAATAACATTACTAAACTTCAAAGTCCTATAACTCCAATCTACTCAGTAGATTATGAGACAATCTGGGTTCCTTTATCCCACCACCTACATGTGAAATCTCTCACAATCTTTCCAGAGGATCAAATGTCAATGAGGTATTGAAACCAAATGGTCAATATATCCAAAGACACTCCAGACCTAGAATGCCCCAGGATAAAACTGGATTACTCAAAACCAAACTTGATCTGTACTTACACCACTAAAGCTGGGCCTGAACCAATTTAAGTCACTCAGGGGAAAAAAATACAGGTTTAGACATAGTTTCCCTGATTTTCATACTACAAACAAATGATTTGGGGGGAAGGGATTACCATATTCTGAAATATGTGAGATCATATTGCTTGTTCCATTCCCACAAACTGGGGATTCTAATTGTCCCATCCATCTACCTAGACCCCAAATCCTTAAGTAAACAGGCATATTCTAAACTTAAAAGAAACTAAATTTATGGTATTTGTTATAAATTGGAATTTTTTAAAAGATTTTATTCATTTATTTGAGAAAGAGAGAGTGCTAAAGTGCACAAGTGGAGGTGGGGGTGGTAGAGGGAGAGGGACAAGCAGATAACCCACTGAGTGGGGAGGCCCACATGGGGCTGGATCTAAGGATCCTGAGATCATGACCTGAGCTAAAGGCAGATGTTTAACCGACTGAGCCACCCAGCTGCCCCAAAATGGAAATATTTTTGAAATAATGTTCTATAGTAACAGTAGCAGACAAAAGTGAAGTGAGTTTATTAAAGCTTTTTAATGAACCTTAAGGTTAAGTGACTATCAATAATTATTCATTGGTTATATTTTTGTTTGTATATATATGTTTTTAAAACTTTTTGGGCTATGAGGTTCTTCCAGGTCAGAAACATTTCTTTTAAGTTAAAACTAGTAACTAGTTTGACAGGGTGGCAGTATAGATTAGTAAAAAAAAAAAAAAAAAAAAAAATCCTAAAGCTCACTCCACTTCTAGTTTCATCATTTGTAAAATGGGACTGTTTTACTTATGCCATCTCTTTTTTTTTTTTTTTTTAAAGATTTTATTTATTGATTTGACAGAGAGAGATCACAAGTAGACAGAGAGGCAGGCAGAGAGAGAGAGAGAGGGAAGCAGGCTTCCTGCTGAGCAGAGAGCCCGATGCGGGACTCGATCCCAGGACCCTGAGATCATGACCTGAGCCGAAGGCAGCGGCTTAACCCACTGAGCCACCCAGGCGCCCCTTATGCCATCTCTTAAGATAACAAAGTGAAAGTAATGAAATTACTAAGCCATATAAAATACTCAGAAACCAATCAAACTAGAAAAAGGGACTATGTTACCTGATGTCTAATCTAATTCTCCAAACTGTTATTTTTAAAAAGAGTGCAGGGAGTATTAAACAATGCATGGGATACTAAATCAATAACAACCTCCAGAGTTGCTGGTCTTCCCCCCAAAGATCTTAAAAATACTTAAGTATTGACATATAAATAAATAAGCTTCAAACTGGCTTCACTTTCAGCAAACATGAATTCCCTTACCCCTTGCCATTCCATTACTGAATCAGTAACATTTTCTCCTAGCTCCCAGAACAAAGTGCCCCTAAAATCCTCCTTCCACACAAACTGCTCCCCACAAGGTACCTTTAGCTTTTTCTATCTGTTGGAAGCCCTTCCCTGATCTGATCACAGCTGTCATTATCCTTCTTCTCAAGTCAGGAACCACCCTATCCCCTCACAGAAGTGTTCCTCTTTCTATCCTTTTCATTGGTGCAAGGCATACCATCACCATGGACACAGAGCTTCTGAAGTTCCCACTCTCTGATAGTTTCTAGTTAGGGGATCCAAGAGAAGCTGCTTTGCTAATAATGTGCTACTACAGATGAAATTGTATTTCTGCATCCCAAATTTAGAAACCTGCATTTGTACTGTTCTTACTCTGTATTAGATTCGGTGATGGGAATTCACAGAACATGGTTATGCATCAAAGAAATATACTACAAGGTAGAAATTAATGAAGTAATAGGTAATGGGGAAGTTCCAAAATATTACTGGTATCTTTCAATTATTAAGTTATTGTGGGCTAACACTGAGACCAGAGCATTTTAACACTGTTTCTAGAAGAAAAATACATGTTTTTGTTAGGCTCCACAATTCTTTCCTTTGACTGTTCTAACAGACTCTTGGCCTTTGAGACAGATGTTTATGTTTCCTCTTCTCTTCCACAGTATTTAATTCCATCTTTTAGATACAATTTTTTTTTTAATTTGTCAGAGAGAGATTACAAGTAGGCAGTAGATAGAGAGGGAAGCAGGCTCCCCGCTGAGCAGAGAGCCTGATGTGGGGCTCGATCCCAGGACCCTGATCAGATCATGACCTGAGTCGAAGGCAGAGGCCCAACCCACTGAGCCACCCAGGCACCCTAGATACAATTTTAATATTAAAAAATGAACACAAATTGGACTTCTCTTAAATGTTCATTTAATGTTCCTTATACATTTAAGGAATTTTACATTAACAGTTTCATTTTAATAAATAACCTAAAATACAATGTACCAGTTAGACAAAACAAATTAGACAAACATTCAGCAACATGGCCAGGTTTTAGAAATAAAGAGGGAGGTGAGTGAAGGGGACTACAAGAATTCGACTAAAGCCTAATGTATAATTAAAATACATGAAATAATAAAACCTTTTATATGACATAAAGGGATACACAGCAAATATATTAAAGGGTCACTTATATAGGGACTAGTTATAAAGGAAAACAGAAAAACAGTCCTTTAATGAACAGTGATGATGGGTATGACACAAACTAAGGAATATCACTAACTCAATACTCCAGTAATTGAGGTTAAAAACTGATACTTCAAGCATAGCCATCCTCTTTCACAGTAAACAGAGTTGCTCAAGAATTTAAACAATTTTTTAAATTGTGGTAAAGTATATATAACATAAAATTTACCACTTCAACCATTTGCTAGTGTACAGTTAACAATTTTTATTAAAGTTGTCACTGTCTTTTTAATAACTTTGACAGTGTAGGAGGATGATACTATATAAATATGAATAATCTTATTTTGATTATCTTCTACTCTAAAAAAAAACTATGAAAGGATCTGAGCTTTTATAAACATACGTATTTACTGAACACTTACAGGCGAGCCCTAAGGATATCAGATAGCATGATCCATCACCAATGTATCACAGACTATATTAATGTTTAAGAATTCAAACTCCATTTGCCCCAAGAACAGGGACAAAGGACTAAAATTAAATCTTCTGAAATTTCTGTTTTCACTTTAAGCACAATAGTCCAAAAAAAGAACGATCTGGATTTCTCCTGAAGCACTGCCTTTGAGTAGCACCTGGAGGGTCAGATAGTGCTATACACAGGTTCCATGACTCCCTCCCTTAACCCTTCAAAGATAGAAGAAAAATACAGGGGAAAAGCTTCACAAGAAACCTGGAAGTGAAAACTAGTGATGCTTTGCTCCCCACTCCCTCTTCATGAGCCAACGGGTCTCTTTATTTTAACCCTGTGTTTTCAGTTATCAGGATAAAAACTGACCTGATTAAATCTGTGGTAATTTCAAAAACAGGTGGGAAAGATGTGTTTGAGAGCCCATGTTCCCCTCAGGACAAAGGACAATAAGTGAGAAACAGTTATTGATCTGAGTAATTCATTTTATAAGCATTTTTCCAGTTGACAGATTAAATTCACCTGCAGTGATCACTACTACCCGTACCAAAGAGTTCCCGTAAATGTAACCTGTTAAAGCCAAGCAACTGATTTTAAGTTCCTAGCATAGGGTAATAAGCACACCAAGAGGTGATTTTACTACCTACTCACTTGAACATATCATCCTTCAGAAGTCTAAAAAGACTAACAATCTAAATCAATGTTGATTTAAAATTCATTGTAAAGATGATATTTGGAATTTTTTTAATACTAACTGTTACTAAACATTTTACTAATTACCTAGGAGAAAGCATTACACTTTTTAAACTGAACGTAGGAGTTCTATAATTTTCATAGGTGGAAACCCAGGTAAATAATCTCCCTTAACTTAAGGCCTCTAATAGAGCCTCTATGACTCCTCTACCACCCCAAGTCATTTAGGTAATGTCCACTGAGGTAAAAAGCTAAATGGGTCCCAAAGGAAGAAGAAAACTTATTTTCTAAAATGGACAAACCCAATCCTAAGGATCCTAGGAATTAAGTTCCTTAATAATACTAGGAATAAGGATACCATGAAAAGCAGTATTTGAGTTTCAAAGGTGACTACTTTTATCATACCCTTTTAATCTTAACTTCAAATAAGATGAGATGTACTGTGTTTGCGAATTCTGAGGTAGTAAAGGAGGAGCTAAAAAATTTGTGATACTCTTGTAATAATCAAGAAAATATATGAAATAAATACAGGGAAAGGATTAAAAAATAAAGAGTAATTAAGCCTATATTCAACTATATTCGTTTACTACTATAGTAACAATTTCTTACCTTGTGGAACTCTCTTCTGAGAAGAATAGATACAATTCTGTTCCTAAAAAAATTTCAGGTAGAAAAGTTAAAATGTTGGTTTTAAAACAGGAAGCCTCTTAAAAATAAAAAGTTAACAAAAGCTGATATAGTACATTCAGAATGTCATGACATTTGGTATTACCAAAACTTAAGAGACAGTAAGTCTCTTAAATAAAATAAATAAGTATAAAAAGTATAAAGTATATAAAGTATAAAATTATAAAGTATAAAAAATAAAGTATTTTAACATTTGTATTAAAATATTATAAAATTATTTTTATTATTACAAAAAGACTATTTATTCTACTGACTATCAAATCATTTCTTCTAGGTACATAGTGATGTCTCAGCACATTTTCATATTCTAAAAATCGGTACTCAATTGGGTTTTACTCTTACCAAGATTTGAGATCCCGAAAGGTAGTTTTTAGGTGTACTCCATATGTCATAAAATTCATCCCTTTAAAGTGTAAAATTTAGTGGTTTTTACTATAGTCACAAAGTTATGTAACCATCACCACCATATTATTCCAGAACATTTCATTACCCCAATAAGAAACCCTGTACTAACGAGTACATTTTTATTCACAGGGAGAAACATCTAAAACATTTAATTTCAAAAGATATAAGAGAAGCATACTCTTCACAATACTATGATCAAAATGATGGTTTTTTAAAAATGTACAGAACAGAGACTGGGAAGGAAAACAAATATCCAAACATTTTTAAAGGAGCTGTATTCAGATAGTGGTAACATAGTGACTCATTTTCATGTATTTCCTCTAAAGCTCTGATTTTATAAAACTACCTTTACGGTTCTTAAAAAGGTACAACATAGGCATACATTCTGTAGAGCTACATGCTCTAATTTGTACTACAGTCCAAAGTAACAAGAGAAATACAAGCTGACACTTAAAAAAATGTCCACTATACTTTCTAGTAAATGTTTTTCAAAGTAGATAAAATAAGTATAAAGTTTTTAAAAATTTGGGCCACACTTACTAATCTGGTTGAAAAGCCACAGCTGCATCTTACTTTATGACAAATTGACTGTTTCATCACTTTTGCATCTGGGCCTCTACTTCTTAATGGTCATTTCTGAAATAAAGACATAGTCGTTAAGAACATATCATAACAAAAACATCAAATCTTTAAGGACAATTTCCTAAATTTTAGTGTCTATAAAAAGAGTTATCAAAAAATTTCTTGAGCAACCTTCTAATAAAAAACATTAACAGGGCTGAGGATGAAGTGAGAGAGCTCGAATATATGCTGTCACCCTATGGGACCAGAATTATGTTACACATACTGAGTATAAAAATCTATAAATTCTTCAGTCCTAAATGCCTCCACCCAGCAGGGTCTTGCAATTCGTAAGAACGCCATTTACAGACTGGAAAAAGAAAAAAGGAAGAAGAAAAGAAAAAAGGAAAAAGAGAAGCCCTTAAACTCCACATTTGGAAAAAATTAACTGATAATGTATGTTTGTATCTTTCCCCCCACACACCCCTATAGAAAGAAGGCTCCAGAAGAGATTTTTACTGGCTTTATTTACTGATATCTTTTGAGCACTTAAGACAATGACTGCCGTGCAGTAAGTGCCCGGTAAATATTCATTGAAAGAATGAATAAAATGATGAGTGATGTAATTTTAATTGATGAAATATTTAACCTGGTACTATTTCAAAATGGTAAATCCTCAAAATAATATTTCTTCCACACATATACCATTGATATCAATGCCAACTACATCATTGTTATTGTATTTTCCCCAGCAAACAAAGCCGATAATTAAAAGACAAGGCCTGGTACCAGCCTTCAAGAAACAGAACAAAGGCATACATCACTATGTAATTCTGTTACTGCAATCTTTGGGGGAAACTCCAAACGGGGAATTGCTAGATATGTAATTTTGCTAAATATTGCTAAATGTTGCAAATAGGCTATTTTTTTCTTATTTCTTTTTTATTTTCTTATTATTATTTCATTAACACATAATATATTATTTGTTTCAGGGGTACAGATCTGTGATTCACCAGTTTTACACAATTCACAGCACTCACAGTAGCACATACCCTCCCCAATGTCCATCACCCAGCCACCCCATCCTTCCTACCCTCTTCCACTCCAGCAACCCGCAGTTTGTTTCCTGAGATTAAAAGTCTCTTATGGTTTGTCTCCCTCTCTGGTTTTGTCTTGTTTCATTTTTCCCACTTCCCTTATGATCCTCTGTCTTGTTTCTCAAATTCCTCATATCAGTGAGATCAGATGGTAATCATTCTCTGACTTATTTCACTTAGCATAATACCCTCTAGTTTGCCACATCACTGCAAATGGCAAGATTCCGATTTTTGATGGCTGCATAATACTCCTGTGTGTGTGTGTGCGCGTGCGTGCACACACGCGTGTGTGTACCACATCTTCTTTATCCATTCATCTGTTGACAGACATCTAGACTCTTTCCATAGTGTGGCTATTGTGGACGTTGCTGCTATAAACATTTGGATGGACGTGCCCCTTTGGATTAATACATTTGTATCTTTGGGCTAAATACCTAATAGTGCAATTGCTGGGTCATAGGGTAGCTCTATTTTCAACTTTTTGAGGAACCTCCATACTGTTTTCCAGAGTGACTGCACCAGCTTGCATTCCCACCAACAGTGTAGGAGGGTTCCCCTTTCTCTGCATCCTCTCCAACATCTGTCATTTCCTGACTGGTTAATTTTAGCCATCTGACTGGTATGACATGGTATTTTCAGGTTTTGATTTGTATTTCCCTGATGCCAAGTGATACTTAGCACTTTTTCATGTGTCTATTGGCCATTTGGATGTCTTCTTTGCAGAAATGTCTGTTCCTATCTTTGCCCATTTCTTGACTGAATTATTTGTTCTTTGGGTGTTGAATTTGATAAATTCTATATAGATTTTGGATACTAGCCCTTTATCCGATATGTCATTTGCAAATATCTTCTCCCATTCTGCCGGCTGTCTTTTGGTTTTGCTCTTTCCTTTGCTGTGCAAAAGTTTTTTATCTTGATGAAGTCCCAATAGTAAAGTAGGCTATTTTTTTTTTTAACATGTATGTTCTTTAACTACTAGTTGTGGAGACAGGAAGAAATATAAGAAATTCTTTTACATGGAATAAAAAGTTGACAAGTCTCAAGAATAACCACGAAGGAAACCAGTAACTCTCTACTTCCCATACTATACCTGAATTAGTATTTCACACAATGCTATTCTTTTTGTTTAATAAAAGGGCGGGGGTGGGGGGAAGACTATAAATATTAATACAGACCTCGGGGTTTTTTCTTTCAAAAGGAAAAGAGCATTGGAAGGATAAACCAAAATCATTTTTAAATGGTTATCTAAAGGAAAAAGAGAAAGCAGGATGGAAGGGACAGGGATGAAAGTCACGACTTCTCAACCTTGTTTTACAGTTTGTATGCTGGAGAAATGTTTTAAGATCAAATGAACATCAAATGGTAATGACATTTTGGGCATCAAAGTGGTAATGACTACCACTGATTGAAACATTAAATATATATTTTTCTTTTAAAGATTTATTTATCTGAGAGAAAGACACTGCACATGAGCAGAGAGAATATACAACCAGACTTCCACTGAGCGTGGAGTTCAACGTGGGGCTCCATCCCATGACCCATGAGATCAGGACCTAAGCGAAACACCTAGAGTCAGATGTTAAAATGACTGAGCCACCCAAGTGCACCCAAAACATTAAATATATTTTTAAAGGGGTGCCTGGGTGGCTCAGTGGGTTGGGCCTCTGCCTTCAGCTCGGGTCATGATCTCAGGGTCCTGGGATCAAGTCCCCGCATCAGGCTCTCTGCTAGGCAGGGAACCTGCTTCCTCCTCCCTCTCTCTCTCTGCCTGCCTCTGCCTGCTTGTGATCTCTCTCTGTCAAATAAATAAAATCTTTTAAAGAAAAGAAAATATATATATATTTTTAAAAATCACGGTCGTCTCTGGAGGTTGCTACAAGTGCTAACCTATTACTCTGAAAGTTAAAAAAGGGAAAGAACCAAGCACTTATCCTGGCTTTCTTATATGAAAAATACCCTACAGTAACCAAGCAGTTAATAAGTGAAAGCTCTTTTTTATAGGATTCCAAATTATAAAATTTGAAATTCCAAATTATAAAATTAGAAATATAAATATAAAATTAGCAAATCATCATTTCGTAAACCCTAATGAAATAATGGATGTAAACAATGATCGATGGGGGCGCCTGGGTGGCTCAGTGGGTTAAAGCCTCTGCCTTCTGCTCAGGTCATGATCCCAGGGTCCTGGGATTGAGATCTGCATCAGACTCTGTGCTCAGCAGGGAGCCTGCTTTTCCCTGCTCCCTTCTCTCTGCCTGCCTCTGCCTACTTGTGATCTCTGTATGTCAAATAAATAAATTAAAATCTTTAAAAATAAACAAATAAATAATGATCAATGGTTGCTAAAACCATTAGGTAAAAAACTAAAAGGAAATCTTCTAATAGATAAATCAAGTAGACAAACTTTGAACCCAGCAATTAATCTTAACATCATTTAAAAATGGGTCAAACACTATGTGCAGAAATATTCATCATTACCCATTAAGTGTTCATCCTGGGAGCTCCAGTTTCAAAAGACATCCATAATGTTACCATTTTTAACATTTCCACTCTAACCACCATGGTCCATGCCACCTTAGTTCTCATCCGCATTACTCTAATAGCTCCCTATCTGATCTCTCAGCCTCTCCCTTTGCTCACCTCAATTCAGTCAGTCAGATTAGGCCTTTACAAAAGAAAGTCAGATCATGTTACTCTTCCGCTCAACCCTCTGAGTCCATCTCACCAGTCTAAAGCCCAAATCCCTAACAAAGGCCATAAGGACCATGATCTTATATTTCCCTTTCACTTCTCTTGAACATGATCTCTTACCATTCTCCCCCTTGTTAACTCCATTCCAGCCACACTGGCCTCTTTCCTTGCCTTAAACACTTCAAGCACGTTCTCACTTCAAGGACTTGTCTTTCCCTCTGCCAGGAGCACAGGTGTTCCTCCTCCACTTCCTCTAGGACTTAGTTTTTACAAGTTATCTTATCAAGAGATAGGTCCTGGTACCCTAGGTGAGCCCAAAATATAAAATATCTGCCTCAGATATTCTTATCTGGCAGAGAATATGTAAGGAGGAATATTTTGGAGATGGTAATTAACCAAAATATGAAAGTGACCAATTACTGTATCTTTGTGCCTAAACATCTGCAGAATTATACCGCCCCTTTTAAAAGGTTCTTAAGGTCCCAACTTCAAGGAATTAAGGAAGGTGAAGACACAACAGTGGTTTGTTTGTTTGATGTTTGTTTTTGGTTTTTGTTTTGTTTTTAAATCATCTGTATCATAACTCTAGGAAGGAGTGGTAAATGATTTGAAAATTAAATGAGTCCCATTAAAGGGGAACCTGGATGGCCCAGTCAGTTAAGCATCTGCCTTCGGCTCAGGTCATGATCCCAGGGTCCTGGGATGGAGCCTTGAATTAGGCTTCCTGCTTAGCAGGGAGTCTGCTTTCTCCCACTGCTTATACTCTCTTTCTCTCAAATAAATAAAATTTTTTAAAAATTTATTTTTTTATTTACTTGACAGAGATCACAAGCAGGCAGAGAGGCAGGCAGAGACAGAGGTGAGGGAAGCAGGCTCCCCGCTGAGCAGAGAGCCCCGATGTGGGCCTGGATGTGGGGCTCGATCCCAGGAGCCTGGGATCATGACGTGAACCGAAGGCAGAGGCTTTAACCCACTGAGCCACCCAGGCATTCCAAAATTTTTAAAAATAAATAAATAAATGAGTCCCATCAAAAAACAACAACTAGCAAAATAATTGGCCCTTTCCTCCACTCCTTTAGGGACTTCTCTTTGGGATTACATTATAAAGTTCCAAGTAATCTCAGAAAAAGTTTAAACTATTTTCGAATTTGTTACCTTTAGGTACCATGACCACCAGAAAGAATCAAAAGAACTCACTAACTCTAACATGATTAGACTAGCTATGACATGGTAGGGATGTTTGAACTTAATTATTTTTCTTTAAATAAACTCCCCTGGGCTGAAGCC